AAAAGCTTTTTAATATAGGGTGATATGATTAAAAGCTAGAATAAGTGATAGAAATAAAGGGAATATTAATGTATTACATTTTTATTTGATAAAATGAAAGTAATAATGAAAAATAGGTGAAATAATTGAATAATGATAGACTGTAACCTAATACAGATGTGTATTGCTATGGGCATTTTATAAATTGATTGAATGTAAGAATGTTTAATCTGATCAGTTTTGTTTGTATTGGAATGTATGGCACCGAGATGCCATACTGTTCACACACTGATTTGACATTTTTATTTAAAAAATAAAAAAATAAAAAAAAAGAACTTCAGTTGATGACTGGAATAGCACCTTAAGAAGATAATAGAACTTATTTTTTCAATCAGCATGACACAAACTTAAATTTTTACAGGAAATCCCATGAGTTTTCCTTTTGCTATTTTCCTTCTTCATACCCCATAAAGATCTCTAGGATCTTTTTCTATCCAAGCACAAATCAGGTCTAACTCTGCCCAGTTTCTGATCCCACACCAAGTCAGCCAGGTGGAATACCTGTGTTTAGTTTTCGTAAAAGACATTGCTTACCAATATTCAAACTTCAATTGTTGTCTGTTTCAAAGTTGATATAATAACCAATTATACTGGAAGAATATGGCAATGATATACAACAAATGAAAGCTCCATATTATAATAAAGCCAAATTAACCCAAGAAAATATGTGAAGGCTTACTATGAAATAGAGAAGCAGAAGTATCATGGTATTAGGTGGTAGCGTGTCTGAACCACCAATTCAAACAAAGCTCACTACCTATGAATTATTGATGGTGAACATTTTATCCACTTCATTCTGTAACAAGAGCTTGCAAAACTCTTCATAAATAAGAATAGAACTTCAGATCTAAATAACAGAATGAAGATAAAAGCAAAAGGTCAGATTGTTCATAGAAGGTATCATGTGCCTGGCAGAGATGAATTCAGATGAGTGGCAGGGGTGAAATCTACTTACCTTCGGAAGTGCGCGAATAGTCACCTTTGAGACTATACATGTGCTAAAACCATTCCTACATGTGATCCAAAGAGCAAAAACAGCTCCAGAGAACCAAATGATACATGCAAACAAGTTGCTGACTGCATTCAGCCCTCGGTTTCCAAAGGCCTTGTTCTATTTCTAAAGGTGAATTTGTGTAATTTTGGTTTGTGTGTGTTCCAAGTGACAAGCATTTCTGCTCACGTTTAAATAACTCTTCCTGTCTGCTTATTCCTGGCTAGGCCTTCTCTATGTTATTTATTGCTATTTGGTATTTTACCCCAAAGAGAGAAAATAGCATTATTAATGTTGGGTTTTTAAATTCCTATTCTATACAGCACCCAATAGTTCCCAGTGCATCTATTTTGCAGTTTCAAGGTCTCCTCTACAACTTCCTTGATTCCATGTCCTTGTCATATAATGAGTCTATAGCAAAGTCTGAGTCTGAGCAAAATGGGATTGTGGGAAAGGAATACAGGAAGGAAATGTGCTGCCCCATGTTGTTTTTCCCTGCAAGATACATAACTTTTCCTCTACAGGTATAACTTTTCCTCTACAGATTACATCTTTCAAAGGGTTCTTCCTAGGAATTAAAATGTGCCATTAAACTGGGGTAATGTAACAGTCATTAGTCTGCAGCAATAGCAGCAGGTGGCTCTAGCTCAAACCTCTTTTTATGCTTGATTGACTCCATCAGGAATTATCGGCCTGCCGTCTTGACTTCCCAGATTTCATCTCTCTCTGTGCAGAGGAATGATAATGTACCTATCTCCTCACCAGGCTGGAATGAAGGCTGGGAGGTTGCACCCAAAATCTCTCAGCACATAGAAAAAGCGCTATGACATTAAAAAAAAGTAATTACCACGATTATTAACATTTGAGCACCAACACTGTTTCTAATTATGGGTGATATTGGCAACTATTCTTTGGAATGGGTTGCAGATCTTTTGAAAGAGGATGAGTCTTTTACAGGTAGTCCTTGACTTACGACAACAAGTGACCCCAAAAATTCTGTTGTTCAGTGAGACATTTGTTAAGTGAGTTTTGCCCCATTTTATGACTTTTCTTGCCACAGTTGTTAAGTGAATCATTGCAGTTGATAATTTAGTAACATGGTCGATAAGTGAATCTGGCTTCCCCATTGATTTTGCTTGTCCATAGGTTGCAAAAGGTGATCACAGTACTCTGGGACACAGCAACAGTCATAAGAATGAACTAATTGCCAGTCATCTGAATTTTGTTCGCATGATCATAGCGATGCTACAAAGGTCGCAAGTTTGAAAAATGATCATAAGCCACTTTTTTCAGTACTGTTGTAATTTCAAACGGACACTAAATGAACTGTTGTAAGTCAAGGATTACCTGTACTTTGATTGAGATGGGGGAGGGAACCTACCTTCCAGCGCTTCTTATGGCACCCATGTGGTTATAAACCTTTCATGCTCCAGACCTGGATATTGTTCTTTATTAAGTTGTTATTTTGATTTTATTCTTATGCGTATCCAATTCGTTTAGTTTTAATCTTATAGCTATTTTGGAGATTTATAAGCTGCTCAATCAGACATGACTGAAGAATCATCCAAGCCTAATAAAATAAATATTTGGGGAATCACTTTCCCCTAATAGTTTGCTCACCCAATAAGATCGGGGGGGGGGGGGGGGCTCCCTCCATGATCCCCTCTTTGAAAAAGTAACATCATGCATACTCTCTGAGGAAAGTCTTCTTGATCACCACTCATCTGAAGTAGTAATCCCTGGTGAACTGATTTGTCTCAGTTATCTCAACAAGGCTCCATCCTTCAGATGGAGACAAACTGATTTAGCTCCCTTCTGTTGGAAGAGTGTTTTTGATTCTTCACTTTTAATTAGACTGTTATTATTTTTAATCATTTATTATTTTCTGTAAATGATAAAAAAACATTATTGGATTGTTTATTTCTATTGTTTCAATAACAGTTATGTAAAGAGCTTAAGTATTCAACTGGAGCAGCATATAAATTTAAATAAAACAAACAGATTAATGAATTAATTAATATGCATACTTGGTCTTTCAGAAGAGGAAACCAGGATAAACCTTCCTGAGAGAATGAAGCAAAATGGTTCCAAGATATACAATATCTATCCAACTGTTTTGACAGGATAGAGCAGCAAGTTATTAATTTTCTCTCTTTTTCTCTCTCACTCACATACACATAAACACACACACAAAGTCATCTAATTGCTCTGGATTTATTGCCCCGATAGTTTTTACAAAGACTTTTTTCAGTGAGTATAAGTAGAAAAAAGGCTCTTGACACTTCTTTGTATACTTAATATGTGCATTAAAGATTAATTGCATTCTTTCCAACAGCAGTTACTTTCTCCTTATTTGGACAAAAAAATGAGGAAGAAATGTCCTCTGAAGAATATTTATGGATTTAAATGCCACATTGAACAAAAAAGGTGAAACTACCTCCAAAAACAAAGTGAATGGTTTACAGTATTTTATGGCCAACAGAAATCTGGATTAAAAAATATTATAAATTGAGTTGGGATTTTGCATAGTAATTTGCCTCCACATTGATAAAGCACAGTAAACAAGGCAGAATTCTCAAGCCCAGTCCAGAGAATCTAGGTTTTGTTGCTCTGATTGCACAGTATTAATGATAAGGAGAACAACTGCAATTGATGAATAATGTTGCATACTTTTAAGAACAGCCTTCTGTCTCCCTCTTATAACTATGAAATACTATCCTGGCTTTCACACACAAACACACACACAGAATTTTTTTCCGTCCAAATGCCTGCCCTCTGGAACTATGTTGCCCCAAAGATTTACATGGCTTTCATCCTAACAAAAAGTTTTTAAAGTTTTTAAAGATGTTCCCCAAGAATTTGGGTTACAGGGACAGAGAACCTCATATAGTACTTTATATGTTAGTTTGAATGTTTTTCTCTGGAGTACATTTATTGTTCTTACTGCTTTTAATCTTGTATGCTGCTCTGAGTTTTTATGGAGTTGGGTGGCCATAAATATATACCTGATGTATCCATCCCTAATTTGCATCATTATGTGAAAATAGAATGACAAGCTAATCTCTATGCAACATGTTCATCTGTTTAGCAAATTATTAAAGTCAGAAAGAGAAGTGGGAACAATGTGATTTCAATTTTTACATAGCTGTATGTAAAGCAGAGTCAAGAATGACAATGAACTCTGTTAACATGAAAAGGATCCAATGAAACTAATTGAAGAAGTTGGCTCTCATTAAGGCTCTCCTTTTATTAATCATAACATATACCGGTAACTACAATAACTACACGTAACAGTTTTTGCTGGAAACAGATATCAAATTAGTTCAACTAGCCTTTGCCAAGAATGGCTTTTGGTCATCTTACCAGCTACACCACCATGTTTATTTCATTTTTAGGCTTGGTTTCCACACTCCTTCTATGTTATATCTCCAAATCCAGCAGTAGAAAACCTGTCAGTTTCAGATTTTTTAAAACTGGCCTTTTACTTCTTCTTCCTCCTATTTTCCCCACAACAACACCTTTGTGAGGTAAATTGGGCTGAGAGAGAGTGACTGGTCCAAAGTCACCCAGCTAGCTTTCCTACCTAAAGCAGGATTAGAATGTGGTCTCCTGCTTTCTAACCTGACTCTTTCTTCTTACAATATAGTGTTTTTCCAATCAAATGCCCAGGAGATCCTGCATTTAGACTATCTTGCTTTGCTTCAAGCAAAGTCAATCCTGTTTGCATACCTAGCTGGCTCTCTCAGATTGCTAATTAAGCCAAAGCACAGGAGATGGAAGCCAGAAAAACTGCATGCAGTCTCTGTGCATCTGCTAATCTCCATACACTGCCTAGGTTCCAGGGGATATTCAGGAGTCAATGTCCACAACTATTATGAAGCAGCATACTGAGATGTGGGAGCTAGAGGGTGGTTAACACTGGAAAACTCCTTTACTTATAAGCTATCCATGTTTTTTGTTTCTTCAACAGGCATTTTTCTTGTATCTGGATGCAAACAGATTACACACCCTGATGCCAGCATCTTCTAGGACTGGTCAGTAGCACAATTTCCTTTTTTTATTCCAAGGAAGTGGATCCAGATCTGACTCCTTGAAGATTTGAAATGCCTCTAATTAGCACCTAGGCTCCCACAAGCATACTCTCATGGAGCAATTTTTTTCAAAGAGATGACTTCCTGGAAAAGAAACTTTCTCCTTTGTTTAGTTGCTGCATGACCAACCACCATCTGCAAAGGGTTTGATGCTATTGTTTTAGAAACTGTCAGAAGACTGGTGTCCATTTTTATTATTTTCTTACACTGGATTGGCATGACAAATTTTTATACAGAACCTGTGACACCTCATTTCTCATTTTTGTTTCGCTGTGGCTCAGCAACTGGACGAGATCATACATTTCTAGAATCCTACAATTTGTAAGTTTTAAAGATTTTGTTGAATTGCTTCACTGAGACAAACAGGAAGAGACATGTCTGCAAAAGAGCTTTTCTATGGTAATTTAATACCTACCACAGGAGAAAAAACCTTGCTGTAAAATCATTTCAAATATATAGAATCAAACTTACTGAGATTTCTCATTTTTGCAGAAGTACTTGAAACAAGGCCAGCATGAAATCGTTGCAAATGATATTTTGTGCTTATCTTAAATACATTTCAGCTTTGCAAATAAATGTTACAGAATATACCTCTTTACCATTAATCGTTTGGGGGCCAACAATTTATTTTTGCATATTTCTAGGTATAGGCCTAAAATATGTACCCTGTAGATAAGACTTGGGGATCTGATTTTGCCTTTAATGCATGCAAATGCAAGCCACGCTTACACTGAATTTTAAGGTGCCCTAGGGTAGTCTGTAAACTGTCATAGATAGAACTAAACTTTGTGTATGTTGGATCAACAGAAAATGATGAGATGAGGAAATATTTTCCCACAATGAATGAAAATGAATTGTTACTATTAATCTTTTAATCAGAAACTGGGCACAGAAAGGAATCATACCTGCCTTGATATATTTATGAAAAGGTAAAGGTTTTCCCTGTCCAATCAAGTCCAACTCTAGGGGGTAGTTTTCATCTCTGTTTCTATCTAAAATAAAAAGTGTAAGTGAGCAATACTTGCCATTTATAAAATCTGATTCATTTCTTGTATCAGAAGAAGTTTAGAATTTAGAAACTCAGTTTAGTTTAGTTTAGTTTAGTTTAGTTTAGTTTAGTTTAGTTTAGTTTAGTTTAGTTTAGTTTAGTTTAGTTTAGTTTAGTTTAGTTTAGTTTAGTTTAGTTGATTTATATACCGCCCTACTCCCAAAGGACTCAGGGTGGAAAACAGCCACAAGATAAAAACACATAAATACAAAATTTAAAAACAGAATAAAACCGAATTAAACAATTTGGCCGAAGACAGATTTAAAACACCCCAATAAATTAAAAATGAATTAAATTTTGCGTTTTAAAAAGGGAAAAAAGGGAAAAATTAGGCCAGGCCAGCCTGATGGAATAAAAAGGTCTTGAGAGCGCGGCGGAAGGTGCGTAGATCCGGGATCCTCCGTATCTCTGGGGGGAGCTCGTTCCAGATAGTAGGTGCCCCCACAGACAAGGCTCTCCCCTTGGGGGCCGCCAGTCAACACTGTTTGGCTGACGGCACCCTGAGGAGCCCCTCACTATGAGAGCGTACCGGCCGGTGGGAGGCTATTGGTGGTAGTAGGCGGTCCCGTAGATAACCAGGTCCTAAGCCATGGAGTGCTCTAAAGGTGGTAACCAAGACCTTGAAGCGCACACGGAAGACCACCGGGAGCCAGTGCAGATTGCGAGGAGAGGTGTTACATGGGAACGCCATGTCACTCCCATTACCACCCACGCGGCCGCACTCTGTGCCCGTTGGAGCCTCCGGGTGCTCCTCAAGGGGAGCCCCATGTAGAGAGCGTTGCAGTAGTCCAAGCGGGAAGTGACGAGGGCATGAGTGACCGTGCGTAAAGAGTCCCAATCCAGAAAGGGACGCAACTGGTGAATCAGGCAAACCTGATGAAAAGTCCTCCCGGTCACTGCCGTCAAATGCTCTTCTAAAGACAGCCGTGAATCCAGGACGACGCCCAAGTTGCGAGCCTCTCCGTGGGGGCCAGGGATTCGCCCCCAATAGTCAGTGACGGCACCAACTGACTATATCGGGACGTCAAAACTACAGACACTCGGTCTTGGATGGGTTGAGCCTGGGCCTGTTTCTCCCCATCCAGATCTGCACGGCCACCAGGCACCGGGACATCACTTCAAGGGCATCGTTGGGGTGGTCCGGGGTGGAGATGTACAGCTGAGTATTGTCAGCATACTGATGGTACTTCACCCCAAAATCACGGATGATCTTGCCCAGCAGCTTTACATAAATGTTGAACAGAAGGGGCGAGAGGACTGACCCTTGTGGCACCCCACATATGAGGCGCCTCGGGGTCGACCTCTGCCCCCTTGCCAACACAGACTGCAACTGGTCGGAGAGAAAGGAGGAGAACCATTGCAACACAGTGCCCCCCACCCCTAACTCTTCCAACCAGTGCAACATGATACCATGGTCGATGGTATCAAAAGCCGCTGAGAGATCTAATAGGACCAGGACAGAGGAGCAACCTCTGTCCTGAGCCCTCCAGAGATCATCTACCAACGCAACCAATGCCGTTTCCGTGCTGTACCCAGGCCTGAAGCCCGACTGGAACGGATCCAGATACACCATTTCATCCAGGTGCTGGGGGAGCTGTCACACAACCACATTCTCAACAATCTTCGCCACAAAGCGAAGGTTGGAGACCAGACGATAATTAGACAACACTGCCGGGTCCAGGGAAGGCTTCTTGAGGAGAGGCCTCACCACCGCCTCTTTCAAGGCGGCAGGGAAGTCACCCTCACTCAATGAAGCATTTATAATCCCCTGGAGCCAGCCTTGCGTCACCTCCCAAGAAGCCAGCACTAACCAGGAGGGACATGGGTTCAACAAACATGTGGTCACGTTCAGTCTACCCAGAATCCTGTCCACGTCGTCAGGGGTCACAGGATCAAACTCATCCCAGATAACATTCTCAAGACCTGCCTCAGTCTTCCCCCCTGAAACTACCCAGTCGGAGTCCAGACCTTCCCGAATCTGAGTGATTTTGTCATGCAGATACTGTACAAAGTACTCGGCTCTACCCTCCAAGGGGTCCTCCCACACTCCCTGGTGGAGCAAGGAGCGGGTCACCCTAAACAGGGCGGCCGAGCGGTTCTCTGATGACGCAATAAGAGCAGCAAAATAATTACACTTTGCTGCTTTTATCGTCACTAGGTAATTCTTAATATGAGATCTTACCAGTGTCCGGTCAGATTCAGAAAGACTGGCCCTCCAACTACTTTCTAGGCGTCTTTTCCGGCGCTTCATCTTCCTTAGCTCCTTAGTGAACCAAGGAGCCAGATGAGATTGGCACCGGGTCAAAGGCCGCAAAGGCACAACCCAATCCAGAGCTCCAGCGGCCGCCCTGTCCCAGGCGGCCACTAGGTCTCCAGTCGAGGCGTGAGCCAGAGCCTCAGGGAATGGCCCAAGCTCCATCTGGAACCTCGCAGGCTCCATCAGTTGCCTGGGGCTGAACCATCTTACCAGCTCCGCCTCTCTGCGGCGAGGTGCAACGGTTCGAAGGTCAAGGCGAAGGAGAGAGTGATCCGACCATGACAAGGGCTCGGTGACTATATCCCCTATCTCAAGATCACTCAACCACTGTCCAGAGACAAAAACCAGGTCCAGCATGTTCCCCCCCCCCATGTGGGTAGGGCCATGAATTAGCTGGGTTAGGTCCATAGCTGTCACATATGTCTGAGTCTGGCTCATCCACATATCTAACCAGCTTGAGTTCATACCATGCCTGGGTTGGCCAATTTGTGTCCTAGGCCTGCACGTGCTCCCTGAGCCCTTCTATTGGCACTGATTACAACAGCAAAATGAAGCAACCTAACGGTATCTGTAATCAGCAATGATCATAATCCTTTTTCCTCAGATTGGAAAAAGAGAAATTTCAATCTTGTTACAGCCCCATCCATTATGTGTCATTGCCTCATTCCTTTTGGCCACCAATCATCCCCCTCTATTGGGAATTGCAGGTCCTTGCTCTAAATTCAGCAACGCATTGTGAATGGGAAGATCAGATACTCCTGATAGAGATCAACTGCTGGTGCTTTAAAAAGCATGATTTTTGTACTCTCCAGGAGTCGTATAGTTGTGAAGGACCTTCAGCTCCAAAGCCAGGCAGACCACGGAAATGGTGACAGCACCTGACTGCAAAAGGAAGCACTCATCTTGAAACTTCCTATCTGCTTTTCTCTTTTCCAAAGCTTCACAGCCTATGTCAAAACTGGGGACATAGTACAATAAAACCTAGTACTTTTTTAGTACTAGGCTGCTCTTCAAATGCTATTAATTGTGGACAGGTCTATAATTCTACCTTATAAATACATCAATAATAGTCAAAAAGAATATGAACTAATCAAAAGTCTCTTCTGAAGACTCAACCTAACTAACAGTCAAATGTCCATTCCAATCATGGATAAGCAATAACTGATGTACACTTCCTTCAATTATCCAAATATCAGTCATTTGCCTTGTGCCTAACAAATCTCTAAGAAGCTTCTGTACAGGAATGGGGCATGAGGGAAGTACAGTTATTTAAAATGCTAACAAATGACTCTGCCTTTATTAACTTCCTTGTTGTAGCTGGCTAAAGTGGAACATCTATCTAAAATATGATCAAATTGGCTGGTTATTAAACTTATTAGGGTGGGAGAGGAAAAGAGATCAGTTCCGAGTGATTAGTACACTGACAACAGAACACTGAAAACTTTCTGAAGTTGTTGTATGTGCTCTGGTTAATCATGAAACAGTTACTGAACAAAGGAATGAAGAAAAAGAGGACCAGGAGACAGTGACAATTCGCTTTATGGCAAACAAGTCAGCTCTATTGGCTGCAGAAGTGCAGCAGTAAACTTTCTGAATTTAGTAGCAATGCTGGTAAGGTAGCATATTTTACATAAAGGGAAAATAATAAGAAAGAGGCATACAGATCACTTTAAAAGCTATGACAATTTTAAAAACTGTGAATAAACAATGCATTCTCCTGATGGATTAATACAATCCTCTGCAAGAAACTGTGGACTGCCTCATAAGAATGTTGCCTGTTAATTCCTTTCCTCCCCATATATTAAAGTATATTCACTAAGACCTCCAAAGTCACACATTTTTTGACTGAGAAGAGTGTTTTTGCATACAGTACTCTTATCTTTCATACTGATTGGCGAGACATCGCCTCAGGTTCAACATAAAGCATAAGCATAGCCTCATTGTTATAAAAAGCAATGACGTGAAGAATAGCAGTTCTCCTTTTAAAGTTTTGGCACAGGAAATGAGGACAGGTTTTGAAGTGTGCTACAGCAACCCATTATTGTAAAAGTTATAAGAAATAAACAGGGCATCCAAATTCTTTGAGGGAAATGAATTAGAAGTTTACATATCAAGTACTCTTTGTTCTACTTTAGAAATGCTAAATTACTATCAAATTTCTTCTT